TGAGGGTTGTGATCTGTTGCCGGACACGGAAAAAGACAAAAGACAAAAAATAAAAAAAAAAAAAAGAAAGGTCTCCGCCAAGTGTGAAGGTTGATATAAACATTAATTATAATGAATGCAGAAGCAGGGACTGTACCTCCAGGTGTGATGGGGGCCATGAGGAGATCTTGAGCATGGAAGCCACAAATGGCAGAGTGGCCAGATGTTGGAAGCCCAGGTCCCTGACCACATTGTCACCATGTGAGCTCTGGATATCTCACCTCTGGACTTTACTTACATTTGAGGGAAATGAGCTTCCTTCTTGTAACTGATAATCCAGTACTGCCGCATGCCTATCCGCGAATGTACAGAGAAGTCCCGCAAAGAAGAATTACCCAAACGTGAATCGTGGCTACCCGCCTGCGAGGTCACAAGTGGTTTGGGGCGGGGGGCGGGGGGAGGGGGTTGGTTTGTTGTTTGTTGCTTTGTTTGTATTTTATACATCATACCTTTCCATATTTGCCAAATTACCTACCGTAATCCTGAGTTGCTCTTACAATTAGAGGAGTGGAAAACCCGCAATATAAACCTGCCCCCGCTGGCACATGGTGCCTGGCCCGAGCACACCCTTTCGGCCTCCTCCGCGCCTGGCTTCACTTGAAGCGGATGCCATGACCTGGGTCTTCTGAGGGGCCCGCGGCCCCCTCCCCGTGCGACGAAGGCCGCCTACCAGGATGAGCGCGATGCAGTCCTCCGTGGTGGGCGCCGTGGCGCAGGCCACACTGCCGCCGCTCGCGCCGCTCCACCTACTGCACTTGCGCTGCTCCTCGTCGCCCACGGCGCACCACACGACCCGCGCGCGCCGGGCAGCCACGGCCGCCTCACCTGCGGAGGGACGACCGCCGCGTGGGCAGGGAGCCAGAGCCGGGTTACTGCTCAGCCCCTACCTGGGACGGGAGCTGCCTCCTCCCCCAGAGGTGCAGATGTGTGGAGACACGTGCCCTCTCCTCCAACCCCTTCTGCCGGCCCCAGGAGCTCCCTCTGGGGCTCATTTCTGTCTGTTCCTTTGGAGACCTTCCCTGGCTTCTCATCCATCCGCCCATCCTTAGTGTAATGATGTGACTAATGTCTCGGGATGAAAGGTCCATTACACAGAGCCAGTGGGAGCCCCAAGAGACCGCCTAGGGGGATCCTGAGGCCAGTCCTGACCTCCTTTAAGGCCTGCAGTCACCACCATCAACTACAATGCAGCCTCTCGGTTCACCTGGACTCCTACCCCACGCCCCTCACTAGAAGAAGAACCGTGGCTGAGTTCACTCACTGTGGTATCCCCAAGCCAAATTCGGGACCCAGGCACAGGGGGGTATTCCACCAGCCTCTGGATTCATCCCAGGAGGGGCCCTAGCTCTCCTGGTTCATGCTCATATTTCTCACTTAATAGGAGGCAAGTTGATTCTTCTCTCAGGGGGGTGCGCACGGGGGCATACAGAAGCATTAATCAGGTGGTGCAGCATTCATTTGGAGACAACTCTCACAATGCTAAATGCCCTGATTTGATTGGCCAAAGACACTCACACCTGCATCAAACCTGCCACAATGAAGACCCCACAGTGGCCAGGAGACAGAAGAGTGGCCACCACAAAGCAGAGTCATGCCACCCCCAGATGGCCTCACCCATGGCTCACCAACCATATGAGGTGGCCCCCGGGGCCCTGCCAGGTGCACACTCACTTTCCCTCAGGTTTTGGATGGCAGTGTAGTAGCCGAATCCAAGGTACAGCCCTGCATCTATGCTCGAGGGGATCCTCAAAAGGCCAAGGGCAGAGTCCTTGAACAGCAGGTCCTTCTGCTTGGAAGGGGAGCCAAAGAGCTGGAACGCCGGTGATTTATTTTTTCCAAAATTGTCCTAATTAAGGAAAAACAGAATTATGGTGTCCTGTGGTAAATAAGGAGGAAACAAAAAAAAAACCAAAAACAAACAAACAAACAAAAAACGATGTTGGAAAAGAATATCTGGAACTTTGGGATGATTCTGAGAGCAGGAATCTCAGTTGATACCCTCCTGCAGAGGGACTGGTGGCATCCCAAAGACACAAGCTCAGCTATGGCTTATTCTTTGGAAAGTTGCTGGGCTCCAAGCACCATAGAGTCCTAAGAATATTACTTCTGCTCCAGCCATGAGATACTGTCAGTTGGTAATGCTAGAGGGGGTTTTATGTTTCTGCTGTCCAGAGTACAGCCAGGGCAAGCAGTCCAGTGAATTAGTGAACTACTCAGCAGTGAGCCTACCACAAGGACAGAAGTTGGGGAAAGAAGGGACCTTCCTCCCCACCCCACCCCCAAATCCAAGCAGATGGGAGGACTGTGGGGCAATACCTGTGCCTGGCGGAGAAGCTGCCAGATGGAGTCCTCCTTGCCGTCCACACTTCGGGCCACAACGGCATGAGAAGGGACCCGGGCCAGGTTGCACTCCTTGAACTTGTCCACGGGCTTCCGGGTGTTGTCTGGGCAGAGCAGCTCATACTGGTCCCTGTCAGCCTCATCCTGCAGGTCCTCTGGGGGAGAGAGTGGGGAGCCCAGGTGTGCCAACTCCAGGCAGCAACCATGAGCTGTAGTTTCCCTTTTCGCCAGAATTTTGAGCTGAAGGAGGGACATCTTACACAGCTGACAAAACTGAAAGGCAGTGAATTGCTCCAGAACCCTCAGAAAGGTAAAGATGGCAACCAGAAAGCCTCGGGGGCCAGCAAACGCCCTGCTGGATGGCAGTGGCCACCCCGGGGCTAGAGCAGCTGCTGCTGGTAAGCCAAGGAGCCAAACCAGACCCTATCTGTTTCCATGGCAACTCTGCCTGGAAAAGTCACATTAGAGAGACAAGTCCAGGGGCCACCAAGGGGTGTCTGGAAAGAAGAAAGATGACCAAAATGTTAAGGCAGGAAATACACTGGGTGTATCAAAAGAAGGAAAAAGAATGCTTTTATAAGTGAGTTCAGCCAAATTTTGGAACTGTTCATCCACATCATGTATAAGTTAATTCAGATTATTTAAAGCGACAGAAACCTGGCCAAGTCATTTTATGAAATTAGCACAACCTGATCAAAATCAGAGAAAGAAGTACAGGAAAAAAGAATTAAGGACCTATTTTACTTATGAGCATAAATGCAAAAATTACAAGTAATATATTAACCAACTCAATCTAACAGAATATTTTAAAAACTAATAGATCAGGATTAGGGTTTATCGGTTTATTTCATTAACAAAAGAATGGCTGAACATCAAAAAAGCTAAAGTAATCCACCACATTCATGGACTAAAGGAGGAAAAACATGAGATCACATTAGTCTTAGTAGAAGTAGGAAAAGCATATGTGTGTTCAACATCTACTTGTAATTAGTTTTCTAGTTTCAGAAAAATAGTAATATAGGGAACTTGGTAAAGTTATCCAATTTGATAAATGCCATTAGTCAAAATATCTACAGCAAAATTACACGAAAAGAAGAAAACTTAGATATTCACTGCAAAATAAGAAACGAGGCAAGGATGCCTACTATAACATTGCTAATACAATACTAGATATCTGGATTATACAATTTACAAAAGAAATAAGAGATGTAAACATTGGAAGGAAAAAAACAAATTCATATTTAAAGATGATATAATCCTCTATGTAGAAAAGCCAATAAAACCAACAGAAACTAATAAAACTAACAAGAGAGTTCAGAAGGGTAATGAGTTACAAGATCAACCTACAAAAATAGAATGTTATCCTCATTAGCAATAACCAAACATAAAACAATATAGAATATAAGATGATAATAGCAACTAAAACCATTAAATAGCTAGTAATTAGCCTTGCCAAAAATGCATGAGAGCCACAAAGAGAAAAATTTTAAGTTGTATCAAAGGAAATAAAAAGAGGTGTGATCACATGGGAAGGGAGATTTAGCATCATTGTGGATTGGACAACTTAACATTATAAATATGCCAATTTTTCATGAATCGATTTAAATTCAATACAGTCCTAATCAAAATTAAATTATGACTTTTTTAGAAATTCAACAAAATAATTCACAAATTTTAGCTAAGAATATTTGAAAATGACTAGCAAAGTAAGAGGGGGTGGGGTATCTCTATTCCTCTCTTTCTCTCTCTCTCTCTACCAGATAGAGAGATATCACTGAAAGCCAGGAGAATAAAAAAGCTCAGAAACTGAAGCACAGGGTTATATACAAATTTCGTGTAGAATTGGCTCCACATATCAGTAGGATAAAGATAGAATTATTTATAGTTGTTATTGTAAGGAAAATTGCCTCACCGAAAGGGCGGGGGGGAATGCTAAAGCCAAATCCATACCTGATTTCCTAGATAGAGTACATATAGACAAATGTAGGGGTGGAGGGGAATCTTCAAATCTTATTTCAGGAAATCATGATTTTGGTATGAAAAAGGCATCCTTAAAAGACCCCCAAACCACAAACCAACAGGGTGAAAGTGATGGGTTTGAGCCAATCAATATCAAAGATTTCTGATTGACAAAGGGTGCTATTGTCAGATTTTTGACTGAGAAAAGATCTTACTAAAGTCTTAAATCAACAATGGGTTGATACCTAGATAGAAGGAATGCCTATCCTTGAGTCAACATCATGCAGAAATAAGGCATGAAACTCAACAGAAAATTAGTCAAATGTTACAAAATAAGAAACCCAAATTACTAGCAAATATATGGAGATGATCAAACTCACTAGATGTCAAAGAAATAAAAATTAAACCAACAATGAGATATCTATTGCTTTACAGCCATCATTTGGACAAAAAATATGAAATTCAAAAATACTCCAAACTGAAGTTATGGGGAAATGAGAACACTTGCAGAGTGCTGCAAAGAGCATCATTCCAGACGGCAACCTAAGGTCCTGGGTGGATGTGGGGGCTGTCCCTGGTGGTCTTGAGTGGAATATGGTGGCTCTCTCTCCATTAGTCCTGGATGCAATGTGCTCAGCCTGTACATACCTTTCAACTGGGCTTTAATGTAGGTCCCTGAGGGACATTGTCCAGCAGGACAGTAAAGGAACACCGATAAGGGAGTCAGTCACGTAGTTATGTGTGGTGGAGGGAAGGAGAGGACAGCTGTCCATCACTATGGTGAGATAAGTAAAACATGTTGATGCATTCCCTGGAACATTCCTCAACTGTTAAAACAAGTGAACTGGACACATATATGACACAGAAATATCTAAAACAACACGCTGAGTGGAAAATCTTAGGAACAGCATGGTTTCTAATGCTCAGTAAAACCTCTGTGAACTCAGAACCCAGAAACACAAACCAGCACTACCCATTTTGCAAGACCACATACATCTCAAAAATCAAACCAACAATGAGCTATTTTTTTTTTTTTTTTGTCTTTTGTCTTTTTCCGTGTCCGGCAACGGATCGCAACCCTCAGTGTTGCCCCCGTACCGGACCGGGGACCGGCAACGGGATTGCAACCCTCGGTGTTGCTCCCGCGCCTCGCTCAGCCAGTGAGCGGGAACCGGTCCGTATGTGGGATCCGAACCCTCGGGCGGGAGCGCCGCCGCGCTTCCCAAGCAGCGCACTATCCAGTGCGCCACCGGGCCGGCCCAACAATGAGCTATTTATTGCTTTACAGCCATTAGAGGATATGATCAAGTACCTTGGCGTGGATGTCTATGAGGTGGAAGAACAAGGCAGTGGACATGGGCAATTTAAAGAAAACTGATTATTTTAAATATGAAAGAGCATAAAATACACAGAAGAGCTGTGCCCATAAGCAATCTTTATAACAGCGTGCTAAGGGGAGTCTAATTAGCTCGATACTCAGAATCATAATAAGACAAAAGAAAGCAGTACCGTGGTTCCTCCCCCTGCTCTTACCAAACACTGTACTATCCCTGATAAAAGCCACATCTCCAGCTCCTTCTCTCAAACACCTGTGAAATGAGAAAGCACAGAGGGTGAGCTCGGGCAGCGCCTTCCCAATCCCTTCCTCCTGCCTCCCTGCAGAACAGTGGTCCTGGTGCTAGGCCCCTGTGGGTGTCTGCTCCCTGGAGGGTGGGATCTGAGGCTCTGGGGCGCCCCAGCTGGGAAGGTGGCCAGGGCTCCCTCCAGGCAGATTTACAAAGAAGGGCTCAGGTGCTGATCCCCACCTCCTGCTTTGAAGATTGAGAAGCAAAACATTTTTTCTATGTAAAAGAGAGTTTTGAAGCTTCTAAACCAGAGGGCAAAGGCTTGGGATCCCTGACCATGGCTCTTTCTCTCAGGACTGAGTGTGCAAATGTGCCCTGGCTGGTGGGGGGCCAAGGAAGCCTCCCTCTTCAAAATTGCCTGAGCCCTAGGAGACAGAATGGGAGATGGGGAGCTCAGCCTTGGCATGGGACAGAGAGGGTAGAGGGGGCAGATCACAAAGAGTTCACTGTCCTCCAGCTCTGGGGAGGGGCCCAGGTGGGACAGAACGATATCAACCTGGACACTGTGGCTGTCCTGCCACACTGGAGGCCGGGGACTGGATGTCACATGATAAGATTCCTTCAATCCCGCTATGGTTGGGAGGGGCAGAAATTAGCAGAAAGAACCCAGGACAACAGAGGAGCAAAGTCAGATTTGGAGTTCTCTGAGGGGACAGAAGGGGCCACATGTGTGACTGCCCATCAGGCTGGTGTTGGGGGGAGGGGGAGTAGGTGGGGCCTAGGTGCTGAACAAGGCCAGCACCCTCTTTGGACTCAGGCTCTCTATCTGCACAGCAGTAGGAGAACTGGACTTCTATGGTCCCTGCTAGTAGGCTGGGCTCCATTTGGGGCCAGAGAAAAGGCCTCCTGCGCTGAGGCCATGTGGCACTGGGGCCACTGAGGAGAAGAGGACAGTATCACTCACCTAAAGGCACCAGAGTAGCCGAAGTACGGTTCCGCAGAGGAGAAGGCACATTTATTTGCCCCTGTCCCTATACACAGGCTACACAGGTTGGGGAACCGTTTTCCATCCACACCGGGAACACAGCTGGCTGAGAAGAACTTGGCCACCGCTGTTGAACACAGAGAAATGGACCACCACAGAGTGTGAGCCAGCCCTGGCCACAGCCAGTTACACCTCCCAGCCTGTGCTCCACTCCTGCAGGACAGCCTCGGATATGGGGTTGGGAGCTCAGAGAGATGCACCTGTGCTGACAGCAGACTCTGCTGCCACCTCCCGAGGGTGTAATGGACCCTGCCAGCACGTGTTTCAAGCTGGTTAACCTCACTCCACCTTGGATTCATCCCACACATTCACCTATGTGATCCCAAAGTGGCCTTCACGTGCAACAGGAGCAGAGACCCCTGTCTGAGATCACCCACATCCTCCAGCCGTCTCACCTGCCTCAAGGGGCTCAGGTGGCCCTGTCCAGTTCAAGAATGGACGAAGTGTGCCCACAGGGACGTTCCACCCAGCGGTCCTGTTGAGGCCTGTGTGGCAGGACTTCCGGCCTCGTAGTTGGTTCAGCTGAAAGCCACTGTTTTTCTTTGCTACGGCCACAGCATAATAGTGGGTTCGAGGCTCTGCAAAAGAGCACAAAGAACTGAAAGCTCTTAGCCTGGACCAGAAGGAGAAAACAATCCACCCTAACTAAGTCTCTGGTAGGAAGGGGAACCCAAGTGCTGCGCTTCCCTCCGATCCAAAGCCTGCTCTGTTCTTTGGGGAGCACACGTGTCTTCCCCTCTCCAGTCAGCATCAGGGGGGACAGCCTTCATCTGACCCAGAGAGCCAAGCAGCTGCACTCCCCGATGTGTGATGCTGATCCGGACCCCACCTCCACGTGCCCATCCATGCTGCCTCCACAGAGTCCAGGGCCAAGGCTAAGGCTGCTTGGCTTCTGGGTCCCCAGGCAGAACTCACGCGCTTCAGTCCCATAGACTTCTGCTGCTATAGGTCGCAGTCTGTAGGGGGCCTGGCCTGCCTCAAACACCCAACCACCATCAAGGGTCACAGCATCTGCCTTGTTTGCCTGAAAGAAAAGAGGCCAGACCAGCTTCAGGGGAAAACCCTCCCAAACCAGGTGAGTGGGATTTCAGGCTAGAAGGGTCTTCAACAGGGTCAGCTTTCCATCTTGTCCACTTATGTCCTGTGCAAGATGACAGGAGCCAAGAGTCCCTCTTTCTGGGCAATGAGCACCAGCCCAAGTGCTTGAACTCCTAAGGCTGGCACAGTCCCTCTTCGTCATGTGCCTGTATTGCTCCCGTGGTCACACCATTCACAGTCATTTATATTTAAAGTCCTTTGTTCTGGATGCATTCTCCCCTATTTTTGCTACATATTTATTTCTTTTAACTTCTTTTTTATTGAATAGAAAATATAGCTATCGAAATACCTTCAAATTATCATAAAAAACAATATTCCTCCCCTTTGGCATACCACTTCCCACACGCTTACACACTTCTTGTGTGTACAACGTGGCACAGACCCTATTTTGTGGACTTTTGTCATATAAAGTTGCACACCTTTCCTTACTTCTACAAAGCTTGTATTGATTTCATTGACTACATAATATTTTATTATAATGTGAATGTTTCATAATTTATTAAATAATTCCCCCAATGTTCAGCATTTGGGTTAGTTCTAACTTTTTGATGTTAAAACTAAGATTTCATGGATATCTTTCCCTCAGCTTTTTTCTTGCTGACTGTAAGGTCACCGAAGAAGGAGACACTAGCCAGGTAAAGGAAGAAAAGATTTTATTAGCAAGCAGCAAGCGGACCTGCCAGCTGAGCCGAAAAATGGTGTCAGTACTGAGAGGTAGTTGGGTGTTTTCTTTTATAGGGTTAAGATTGGCCTAACCTAGGAAGACGGTCACAATGTTCCATTCTGGGTACGGCTTGCTTATGGGAACAAGACTTAGGGAGACAGAAACCTTGGCCTAACGGAGGGGAACAGTCATAATGTTACACTCTGGGAACAGCTTGCTCAGCCTGCTAGTGGGAACAGAGACTCAGGGAGACAGAAACTTAGAGGAACAAAACTGAAGGGTGGGGGCTTTCTAAAAGTTAGGTTCTCACTTCTAGGGACCTAACACTGACCACCTGTGTCCTTGGAATAGGCACCTGAGGGTGGAATCCCCAAGACAATGAGCATGTTTCTCTTTATGGCCTTAGCTGCTGTTGCCATTCTGCCTTGGAGAAGATTCGTAAGATTTAAAATGGCACAAACTGTAAGGACAGTTTCACTACAGAATCACCGGCAGGACAAGCTATCATTCCATTAACTGTTATTACCATAGAAAATTCAAGGGCTAATAAATTGCTTAGGTCTGATTATTAAGGGGAATATTTCATAAGTATTTTTATTAATTATGAATTCCCTTTTTCTAATATTCTGTTCATATCATTTTTCTTATATGATTCTACATTTCTTACCAATTTGAGTTAGTTCTTTATAGAATGTGTATAGTAATCACTTGTCAGAGCTGGTGCATATTCATTCACTCTGGTGCTTTCTAAAATTTTTGTTTAAATTCTTTTTATTGACTATAAATTAAATTTCTTATATTTTAAAATGTCAGTTTGTTCCATGATTTGGTCCATCATTTAAAAGCTCAGAGATTTCTATTTTCTCTACAGTTCTGCTAGTTAACCTGTCTCCCAGTTTTTCAATAATACAAGTTTTATTTCTAAACATTGAATCTATCTCAACTTTATTTGGCTGAATGATAAGTAGCTCTGATTTCAAATGGGGTTTTTATTAAAAAGGCAGATTTCGCAGCCTCCTTCACAGATATTCAGCTGAGGAATAGGGCCAAGGAATCTACATTTTAAACAAGCAGGAGATGCTGGTGGTGTTTGTCCACCGGCCATAGCTGTAAAATAATAGCCTAGAACATTCATCAAACTAGATTTTCCCCTAAGTACTAATCTAATATCTCTATTATATTTATAAACTAATTCTATGAGGCTGCCTTAGAAACTTTTACACAAATTACCCACTCTGTGCTAGAGTCAAGTACACATGACCACAGCACTTGGCAGACACACAGAACATATTTGTTGAGTAAATGAGTAAAAGTTATTTCAGTATATCTTATATCTCAAAATCAGAAGAAATTAAAAATCATCTACAGTCACGATACACTTTTCCCTTTCTGTGGAAATGTCTTGCTGCCCTGCCCCAGCAGCGTGATGTGGCTCTATTACTGGGACAGGCTTATTTCTCATAGAGTTGAGAAGGAATGATTCTTCTGGAGGTTCTACCTTTTAGATAACCTTGACTTTTGCCAGTGTTACATATTCATCAAATATGACTGCTTATGCTTCATTTCTGAACAGTTGTTACTAATGATTCATGTTGAGATTCCTGTTTCCGCACATATGGCCTCTTAGCACCGTTTCCTATGAGAAAGGACTGCTCCCTACTTACAGGTACCCGAGAAGCAAAGCAGAGGGAGGAGAGAGAGCACATTTTCTACTTCATCCCATTCCTTTCCCTTGCTCTCCCTTCCATTCACTTTGGTCCCACCCAGCATATGGCATTGACTCACTGTAATGGCCTGGACACACCGAAGGTAGGAGGTTCTCTTTATGCAGCTGACAGGAGGGCCACCCACACTTTTCATACTCTTTTGCCATCTGGAGCATTTTGTTGCCTCGGATTTTGATATAGTACACCATCGAACGCTTTTCTTAGGGGCAGCCAGACACAGTCCTGGAGAAGGAGGGCAAGGAGTAAGCGCTCAACCACTGTTCATGGAAGTGACCACCTCACCCTCTGATGGAGTTTTCCAGACTCCACCCTCACTCTCAACCACCCTCTTTCCCTTTCCATTCCATGGCCAAGTCCAGCCATTCTCCTCAAGTGGAAGAGTCTTGCTGGACTGACAGGAACACTGTGCTGGCCAGAAGTTTGTGATTTTCAATAGATTGGAGGAGACAGGGTCTCCGGATTTTTTTTCCCCTATGACTTTGACATGTTTCCTACCCCTAAAAAATGATGATGATCCCTCAAATAAGTCTATGGAATTCTTCTACCTGCTTTGTCCCATTTGAACCTGGGAGGTGGGCAAGAAAGGGATCGTTACTCCTGTTTCACTGATGTGGAAACCGGCTTTTAAGGAGGCTGGGTGACATGCTGCTCAGCAGTGCAAAGTCCAGCCTAGAATCCCGGTCTCTCTAATTGTTGTGTCAATAAGCATCACCCAGAGGATGCTAAGGGAACAAGGGAAAATACACCTGACTCTGCCACTAGCTATAGTAAATGGTGGGTCACAGGGCTGGGGGTGGGGTGGGGGGTTGCAAATAAGTCAGTGTGCCTGAGTTGCCACCATTCACCTCTACACAGAAAGACTGATTCATCTGTTGAGCCTGTCTTTGTTGCTAGAATCTATGCAATTAGGGAGGAGGCTGGATCAGATTTGCTCACCTGGCTGCCCGATAAAAGGCTTCTGTGAAAAACTTACAGCAAATATCATAATAAAACGGTGAACACTTTCCCCCTAAGATCAGGAACAATACAAGGGCATCCTCTACTTTTTTTTTTTTTTGGCCAGTAAGGGGATTGCAACCCTTCGCAAGATGTAGTCAGCACCAGGCTCAGTCAGTGAGCACACCGTCCATCCCTATATAGGATCCAAACCCGCGGCCTCGGCGCTATGAGCACCACACTCTCCCGAGTGAGCCACAGGGCCGGCCCCTCTCTTACCTCTTCTATTCAACATAGCACTAGAGGTTCTAGTCACAGTAATATGGCAAGAAAAAGAAATTAAAGACATCCAGACTGAAAAGGAAGAAGTAAAACTATCTATATTTTCAGATGACATGATCCTCTATATAGAAAATCCTACAGGGCCAACCCCGTGGCGCACTCGGGAGAGTGCGGTGCTGGGAGTGCAGTGATGCTCCCGCTGTGGGTTTGGATCCTATATAGGAATGGCCGGTGTGCTCACAGGCTGAGCACGGTGCGGTCAACACCGCACCAAGGGTTGCAATCCCCTTACCGGTCATGAAAAGGACAAAAAAAGAAAATCCTACAGAATCCACAAAGTGCTATTAGAAGTAATAAACAAGTACAGCAAGGTCATGAGATACAAGATCAATATACAGAAATTAATCACATTTTCATACAAGCATTGAACAATCTAAAAATGAAAAATCAAGAATATAATTCTTAATTTGCAATAACATCAAAAAGAATTAAATACTTAATGGGCAAAAGATATAAAAAGACATTTCTCCAAAGAAGATATATGAATGGCTAATAAACATATAAAAAGATGTTCAAGTCATTAGGAAAATGAAAATTTTAAATGCAATGAAATATCATTTCACACCCACTGGAATGGTTACAATAGCTAAGACAAACAATAACACATTTTATCATTCACATGTTGAATAGAAAATACAGCTATTGAAATATCTTTAAATTATCATAAAAAACAATGTTCCTCCCCTTTGGCATATCGCTTCCCACAAGCTTACACATCTGCGTGTGTACAACATAGTTTAGATCCTATTTTGTGGACTGCTTTATCCATATAAAATTGCACACGCTTCTGAGGATATGGAGAAACTCAAACCTTCATACATTGCTGAGAATGTAAAATGGTGCAGCCACTTTGGAAAAAAGTTGGCAGCAGTTTCTCAAAATGTTAAACATGGAGTTACCATATGACCAGCAATTGAACTTCTAGGTATATGCCCAAAAGAAATAAAAACATATGTCCACATAGAGACTCGTGCATGAATATTCTTAGCAGCATTATTCAGAATAGTAAAAAACTGGAAACAACCTAAATGTCCAACAACTAGTGAATGGTTTGACAAAATGTGGTACATCCATACAATGGAATATTATTCACAATAAGAAGGAAACAATTACTGATATGTGCTAAAACATGAATGAGCCTCATTTACACTAAGTGAAAGAAGCCAGACACAATAGACCACATATTGCATGATTCCACTTGTACGACATGTTTAGAAAAGACAAATTTATAAAGACAGAAAGTAGATTAGTGGTTGCCTGATGCTGGGTAGAAATGAGGATTAACTGTAAATGGACATGAGGGATCTTTACTGGGGGGATTAAAATGTTCTAAAACCAATTTAAGGCAATGGTTGAACCACAAGGTAAGTTACTAAAATTCATTGAACTGTACATAAAATAGGTGAATTTTATGATATATAAAATATACCTCAGTAAAGCTGTTACCAAAACAAAAACAAAAAACCACATGGTTGCAAAAGCCCCCTTCCCCTTTGGATGTGCTTTGGGGTAGAATGCTCAGCCCTCTGTCGCCTCCTATTTCTGAGCCATCCCCCCACAGTGAGGCCCACCCAAGGCACTTGAGGGATGCTCAGAGGCTGTGGGCAGGAGACTGGCTGCCAGGCTGAGTCGGCCGGGGTTCAGGGGCACTTGGCTGCCACATCCTTCCTTCACCCATCCTCGTCCCAGCGATGCCCCCGGGATATAACCTGGCCTCCGAACCCCTCATGGAACTGTACCACAGTGAGAATTAACGCAATCAGATTCAGCCATTGTGACCCAGTGATTATTAACCTGCTAGATACACAGTACTGTGTGCCATGTGGGGGAATGTGTAAGCAGACAGGACCAGAGCTCACTTGTCACTGGAGAGGCAAAAAGCCAAAAAGAGAAAGCTGAGTATGGTAAATGCTCCAAAAGAGAACAAATACCAAGCTAGGCGCGAGGTCCACATGACCTCAGCTAGTTATTAGGGTGGGGGGCATTCCAGGGGGCAGGAACCATGGGCCCACATGCACAGCCATGCTGCGAGCACTCTCTGTGCCAGGTGCTTTACTCAGCACGTCACATGCCATCTCTCCATTAATTCTCCCAGCTCCTCTTTATTGCAAGTTCTGCCAACATCCCCATTCCCCAGGGGAGGGAACTGTGGCTGTAACTAATTGTGTGGCTTGCCAAAGTTCCTAGAGCCAAGATGTATTGGATCTAGGATTTTAATCTAGGCAGTTGGACACCAAATCCCCTGCTCTTACCACTGGGATAGACCGCCCATTTCAGTTGGCTAGGTTAGAGACAGGTTGCAGTGGAGATGGGGCTGGTAAAGGGCCTGGGGTCAGATCACAGAAGGTCTCCAATATTGGTCCAGAGAGGTCTTATTTGGGAAACAGTGAAGCTGTGACTTATGGGAAAGCTCTGCCTCGGACAGAGGCAGGGGGCACTGAAACCTGAAAGCCAGGCAGAGAAGCTGTGGCCAACGAAGGCATGAGGGAAGGGACGGTCTGAGTGGGGAGAACAGCAGTGGGAATGAAGAAGGGGCAGGAATAGGGAGTTGGTGTCAGAAATTAGTTTGGTAATTGGGTCCTGAGGATGAGAGAGGTCAAAATGCAAGAACATGCCTCAAGCAGGGGCCCTGGGGGATGAGTTTATTTCTTCCCCTGGGAGGGGCTGAACCAGGGTGACTAAGGACCACTGAGCACCCTTCAAGGATCCCCAGTCTCCTGCCCACCAAACAAGAGGAGCTAGGTGCAGAACACACCCTTCCCAGCTCTGGAGCTGTGTATTCCCCTCAGGGCCAAGTGCTCCCTGGAGCACCTGCACTCATTGTCAGCCACCTCATCCTGGAAGGGATCTTCCTAAAGCATGCATCCTCGGGTCTCTTCCATGCAGACATGCCGTGCCCTGGCCTCAAAGGCAAGGGCCAGGACAGCAGTTACTCTTCCCACCCACCCATGGCTCATGCTAGGGCCCAGGCAGACTACTCAGCCTGATGGGAAACCTCATGAGCACATCCCAACCTACGACTCCAGGGGCTGAGCAGGCTGACTCCCCCTGACCCCCTCACATGGCTTGGGTCCAGGTGGCCCCACCCCACCCAGCTAGCCCCTGCCAGCCAATCCCGTAGGGCACCCCTTTTTCAGATTAGGACAAGGGTTTCAATGGCACTTTGGGGTTCAGGCCACTATCCCATTGACTGCAGGATTTAAACTGCAGACCTCTGTAGGCTCCAGGACAACCAAAGATCCAAATGGAAATGGAACCCAGTGGTGTAACTCTGAGCCAGAATACTGCACCACTTCCAGGAAGGCAGGCTTCCTTCCTCTCCACCCGCTCCCAGGTGGCCCCAACCCAAATAGGATCTGAACTCGGGTCTCTGTGTGTCTTGAGAAAGTTGCTCACCCTCTCCGAGCCTCATTTTCCTCCCACGTAAAACGTGCGTAAAAGTTCCATGGGTGCCAAAGGTCCTGGTAGGACACAAGGGGACAGGACCACCGGAGGCCTTCTGGGAAACTCTGCGCAGCGCTAGGCATGCCCCTGCTCCTGCTCCTCCCCAGGCGGGCAGGTGGGACCTGACCCTGCGCCCTGGCCGCCTCCCCGTCTGCAGGCACAGGGACCAGAGCGCCCACGCCCGCCGAAGGGCGCAAAGACTGGGGACGCCCACCGGGCCGGGCGCAGGGACCGGGGACTCTCACCCCGCGGGGTGCAGAGACTGGGGAGTTCACTCCGCAGGCCGCAGAGACCGGGGACGCTTACTCCGCAGGTCGCAGAGACTGCGGCGCTCACCCTACAGGGCACAGGGACCGGGAACGCCCAGCTGGCGGGGCGCCGGGACCGGGGCGCCAATCCCGCGAGGGCGCAGGGACAGGGAACGCCCACCGGGAGGGGAGCGCCCCCAGGCACCTGCACTCACCCAGGGCCCCAAGGAACAGCAGGGCGGGGAAGACAAGCCTCATGTCTGCGGTCCTGATGCGACTTGACGAACGAAGACTACCACCTGAGCCTACTCTGCGCCCCTTTATCCAGGGCTTGGCGCCTACACGGGGTTTGCCCCGCCCTGTTGCCCAATAGGCGCCCCCTTCCCTCTCCACCCGCTGCGGCCAGGTCTATTGTTCCTTGAGGCTCCTGGCTCGGAAAAAAAGCCCAGGGGGCGGGGAGGAAGGGTACCCGGGCAGAACTCCGCACCACGAGAGGAAAGCCAGTCCACACCGCACCTCCCAGTCTCCCCTGATTCTGCCGATGTTCTTTCCCACTAATCTGCAAGCCCCAGGGGAGTCGCAGCCCCCTGAGCCTTGTACCTGCTCTGTCTCAATGCCTTCTACAGGGGAGACATAGAGCGGGGGGTCTTTATTTGAGACTGATCTTTCCTTCAGCAGATGTGTAGGAAAGTGCCTGGGAGCCAGTTAGGGCAAGTGGGTCAGCTCCCACCCTGGCTCAGCAGTGAGCGGATGGTTCTAAAGAGGAACAAACTGCTTCGAGCCCCAGGTCAGCAACAGCCTGGGGACAGTTGATAGGGATAGCAGAGGCTGCCCATGGGGTCCCTGCCAGCTCTGCTGAGACCCACAATATAGCTTCCAGAAGACAGAGCCAGGGGCCTCAGAGGGGAATGACCACCACCACCACCCAGTGCTGGCTCCATGTCCCTCATTTGCCAGTGAGAAAAATGTCTTATAGTTTGTTTTATTTTCTTCTTCTTTTATTTTATTTATTTATTTATTTTGATGGTGGTGGTATGAGGTGGGAGATGGGAACTTCATTTTAATAAATGTCATAAACGTCATATTTGGGGAAGCCATTTTTAAATTCAAAAGCTAGAATACTGCTTTTCTAAGAACATATCAGGTACAAGGGTGCCCAGGGCACCACTGCTTGTCACTAACCAATCGGAATCAAACTAAACATCCATCTCTGGAAGGTGTCACATAGAGTGTGTCCCATGCATGCAATGGGATATGCTGGGGGGCCTCAGAAAGAACAAGGCAACCCTGTATGCACAGATGTGAGCCTAGCCCAAGCGTTAGCAAGTGAAAAAGTAAAGTACTAGGAGTGAGGGAAATCACAGCTCACCCAAACACCTCTCTTGGCAGATCAGTCTGGCCAAGACATAACTGAAATCTGCTTGTCCTGAAAGGCCCATCCTGACTCTTTGCTTAGACTACGTGGTACTAAAAAGCATTTCCTGGAGCAAACAGGCACTACTCCAGGGAACCAGCACTGCCAAGGGTACACATGCAGCAGTCACTCAGCCACAGAGAAGCAGCCCCAGCCCAAGGATGAGAGGCCATCAAGGAGCTGGGGGCCACTCCATCCCTGGGCACAGATCCTGCCACTGCACAAGGGTGGGGTCTGATCAAGGGTCCTGTTTGCCTGGCACGAGAGTGGAGTCTGGGGTTCAGTGCTAGAATCACTGCCAAAAATCACTTGTTTTGGGGTGACAGATCCAGGGTCTCTCATTGTTTGGAAACACAATGTCGCAACATTAAAAGTTGCTTTCACCAACAATTGCAATAAACTGTTTCAAAAATTGTGAAGAAATACAAAATTGACTAATTCTCAGGAGTGCTGAAGCACCTTTGTACCTAAATTAGCAACTAGGCTTTACCTTTTCATGATTATAAAACAATTAAGAGAAATCACAACCCATGTCTCTATCTCTGAGTGCAAATTAGAAAAAGAATGGGTTGGGAGGCCAGAGGCCCCTAGAACTTTTTATGTATATTACAATGTTGACAAAAAACACAGAGAAACTGGGGCCACAACCCAGAGGCTGAGCTGGAGGGGTGCCCTGGAGACAGGACTGGGTAGTCATCAGGGCAAGCTGTTTTCCTGCTGTGCCTGCTGGGATGTGCTTATCTGGGCACAGGCAGAGCAGCCCCCCAAGGCCATCTTCAGAGGAAGCTGATGTAGGGAATGGGTCTGCCCAGAAAGACAAATGCACTGATCTATTACCAACATTCATCCATTCATTCATTCATGCAAGAATGGTGGGTGCCAATGAGAGACACAGAGAAAAGGGATCTGTCCTTGTCCTTGAGAGCTCATGGCATGATGTGGGATGGACAGGCAAGGCGCAAGATCACACTTCTATCACAGAGGCACCTGGGAAAAGGCCACACCTCATAACCATGTGAGGGTGGGAGCCCAGAGGAGGAATGATCAGTTCCCATCATGAGGACTCCAGAAGAGTGAGCAAGAGAATTCGACCTGGGTACCTGAAGGAAGGGTAGGATTTCTACAGGTAGAGTATTCCAGATAGAGGAAACAGCCAAGTAAAGGCTTGGGAGGGTGCACCCAATGACCTGAGCACCAGGGGCAATGAAAGGTCACTGTGGCCTTTCTGGCCTGGAACTCTTAATGGAGGAAGGATTAACAAAGTCCTCATCCTCTATCTCAAACTCCACACCATATGTCCATCGGCTTCTAGAGAGCTCCTCTTGCAGGTCCCTTAGGCACCTAAATTTAATGCATCTGAAATGCAACTCATCCACTTCCTTCAGCCCTTCTCTGCACCTTCTCTCATATTTCCTACCAATTTCCACCAAACAAAGAGCCGCAGAGGCATCCTTAAATTACCTGGCCAGGTGGTTCTGCCTGTGTTACAGGCACTTGGTGATCAATATTGGTTGAAGGAATGAATTAATGAGGAGGAGGAGCTGGCTAATCCAGGCTACCCAGAGCCTGTATACGTGGACTCATTAATTTATCCATTAAGTCAACACTGATCTATGGGGCATCTCCAATGTGCCAGGAGCTAGCCAGACCTTGAAGAGTCCACAGGGAAGTAAGATGCAGGTTTCCAAATGCTGAGACAGTATATAAGGAGCACAAGAAAGTGGCTGCTGTACAAACTGCTGTTCAGTGGCAAGATCTGGGACTTAGGCGGGTGTGGGAAGCTGACTCCCTCTCCCCCAACCCCATTCTACTCCCACCCTCAAAACTTGCACAATGGGCCTTTACAGAATAGCAGGCCCATGACCTGGCCCAAGCCCCCTCAGCAGAATGACACCCTCTGGGCAAGCTGAGCCCTCCACACAGACCAGTGAACCCCTCATCCTGCCCTCTATGAATCCTCTATCTTCAAACCCCAAGAGGAGTGTTGGGAAGAAATTGTGTTATCTGGACAGAACAAGCTACAGATGGGATAAGGAGTTCCTGAGACATCCACTCACATTTGAATGCTAGCCTGGCCAACAGGAGACCCCAGGCCTTGTTTCTTGTGCCTGCCAGTGGTGTGAGGTTGCTGGCTTGGTAGAGAGCCACTTATTAAATATTTAGGGATTTCATGGTGTGTTAACTGATGGTAGCTTGATATCAGTCATGGTGGATATATTGATGTGATGGATGGTAGTGAATGTTACAAATCAGGGCTTTTTCTCCCCAGAGAGCCAGTTTACCAGCATACGACTACCTGTATTTGTCATTGCTTGGTGGCATGTAGTACCCATGGTAGTGTGGTTGTGTTTATGTGTGGGCAGCTACGTGCCACGCTTAGCAAAGAGACAAGATAATAATCCCTAGCATTTGGATGGCACTTTTCATTCCAAACAAAGTTGTCAGTGACTTTGTCTCATGTGACTCTAACAACAGCTCTGAGTAAGGATAGTCAATGTTCTCATTCTAAAAACGGATAATCTGAGGGTTGCCTGTGATCACACACTGAGTGAGATACAGAGACAGAACTGCTGGCCTGAGTCTCTCATTAGGCCCACAGCCAGGGGCTTTCTCTTCCATGGGGCCTGGGAACTCTCTGAGATTTCAGGGTGAAGAGACAGGCCCAGAGATCTACTTTGCTCTTGTGAATCTCAGCAGGAAGGAAAACTGGCAAGGATTGAGTCCCTTCTGTGGGCTAGGCAGTCTAGCCCCTTCCACACATCAGCCATAGATTTTGATCTTCGTGGAAGTGCCATGAGGTGCCTCGCTAGACCTGCTTTCCAAGTGAGTGGACTCAGGCAGTGCCCCTAATCCCCGCTGCACAGCTGGTGAGTGGCAGGCCTGGAGATCCACCCCAGACCCCCATCCAGTGATCCTTTAGGGCACTTGGTGCCTTGATATCAATCATTCTTTTGCTGATCAACCTGAAGAGAGGGGCAGAGAATGACCAGGAATGAGAAAGAGATTGGTGGGGAGCCCCGTGCTTCTCTAGCAGCCCAAGTCCTCACAGGGTCCCATCACAGAGACAATGAGTTCCAGACAAAGGCCTTCACATTTGGCCCCATGCTGGCCCCTTGGATAGATCCTGAGGCCCTGGAGAGTTGGATGTGTTTCTGTGGGTGGTGGCGGGCTGCCACCGGGAGGGAAGCTCAGCTGAAGTGCAATGGGCAGTAAAACAGTGGCTTTATTAACCAATATGCATTGCTGCCAAATGTTGCCCAATTTGCAGAGGACCCACAGAGACAAAGATCTTCTGTCAGCTTGGATCAGCCTCTACTTCCTCTTCCTCCTCCTCTCCTTTGTCCACTCCTCCTTATATAATCAGGACCCTCTGCCCCTCTGGGCCCTCTCCTCATGGGGACCAACCTCCTGGGCTGGCTGTTCCAAAGACCTGCTTACACTGTCCCCAGTGGTAAAGGAGCAGTGGAGACATCTCAGGTTTCTAGTCCCTCGCCTAGTTCCATTTCAATTCTCCTGGCCAGGGTAGTGCCCCAGTCCCTTTCAGAAATCTGAACTCCATGAGCACCTAATCACCATGCCCACTGAGATGAGGAATGTGCAGCAGGCCAGGCCAGGGGAGGGTCTACCCAGAAGGTCCAGGCAAGAGCAGGCTGGAGGGTGTCAGTGGCTGGCCCAGGGCCAGCCATGCAAATTTCTTCCCAGAAGGAATGAGGCCCTGGCCCAGGGAAAGCCCCAGGCAGGAAGCACCTGAGCTGCTGACCCATTTTGCTGCCCCTTCCTTGGGGCTGCACCAGAGGAGGTCTGCCCCACAGCCTTCAGGAGCTGGAGACCACAGTGCCTGCGGTCTGCACTCCACAA